CATCAACTAATGGAAAAAGAGTTTAAACAACATTTTCCAAACATCGTAAAACGTTTTTCAGAAAATGTAATTTATTTTACGAAAAATGTTTTCAGTAAAACAAACATACCCTAAGTTTGACTTAATAAAATTCCTTCTTGCTGAGAAAAAAATTTACAAATCTATTTAAATCTCCTTAATGTAATTTTGAAATGATATAAAGTTAACAAAAATAAAAATAATACATCAGCTATAAATTTAACATACTACCTAATCTACCCAGATCCTCGACTAAAGTAAAGCCTCTCATCCCACCTGAAATTATACCGGCACAGATTAACTCAAATCAAACCTAAACCTAATCTTATCCAGCACCCAAATCATATCTTAGTCCATTTCAAATACATAAATATATATTTTAATAATTTAGAATGATTGAAAGAAAATATATATTCAAAATTTTTATTAGTTATTAATAACGTAAAACACTCTACAAACGTAATTGTTCAAACTCAAATTTTTTTAGGAAAATAGCATTCTTTTTTATCGTTGAGAACACCTAATAAATTTAATCAAAGTAGATAACTGAATTGGTTAAGAATAGAGGTTGAGTAATATCTTTGGGTTTGTGAATTATATAAAAAAATGTTACTAAATTTAAGGGTTAACTACATGATTGATTACTTATATTTGTGTTTTATCCACTTTCTTCACTGATTTCAAAAAAAATATAATATATAGTTACTTTCATTTTTATTTAATTAAGGTATAGTCATTTTCATTTTTATTTAATTAAGATGTGGTAACTGGTAATCATGAGTTAACTTCCGTTAACAGTTAACAGATTAGGTGATGTGATATTTGGTATAATCACACATTTGGTCTCTATTATTTATAGATTCTCTCAATTTAGTCCTACTTTTAATAAATTAAAATAAATTTAGTCCTACTTTTAATATATTAACTTTAAGAAATATTTTTTACATTAACTTATTAAATATATTTTATCATTAATTTAAATTAAAAATATTTTATTTTAATTTACAATTTAAAATATACATTTTATTCTTACTTAAACTTAAAAAAATATTTTATTATTATTTTAACTTTTTAAAGTATATTTTATCTTAATCTACTAAATATATTATATTATTACTTTAAGTTATTAAATATATTTATTCTTATCTTAACTTTAAAATAATTTAACATAAAATATATATTTTTAAATTAAAAATAAAAATACAATAATTTTAAATTAGGCAAATAATAAAATATATTTAATAAATTAATATAAAAATATTGTTAAAGTTAATATATATAAAATATTATGAATTTAAGTTAAGTATTTATACACTAAGATACTAAATATATACATCATGTTGTTTATTTTAAATTAAGCATTGGTCTTGGCTTAATGGTTGGTACATGTATGGTTTACTAAGTGACCTAGGTTTGAATACTTTTCCCCCAATTTGGTTTGCTTTGTTTTCTTTCACCCTATGATTAGTGAAAAATAAATATATTAACTTAAAATAAAACTAGTTTTTCAACTAAATGGTGACATGTGATATGACATATGTTATTATTCGATTGGAGGATTAAATTTATTTTAATTTATTAAAAGTATGACTAAATTGAGATAATACATAAATAACAATGACCAAATATGTGATTATACCAAAATATTTAACAGCGATTAACTTGTGGTGACCACCACGTCTTAATTAAATAAAATGAACGTGGTCATACATTATTTTTTTGAAACCAGTAAAGAAAAGTGGATAAAGCACAAACATAAGTGATCAATCATGTAGTTAACCCTAAATTTAATCACATAAAATCTCAAGTAAATAATAGAGGATGGGATGGGTCAAAGACAGAAAGAAGTAGATAAATTAGGGAACAAAAAAGTCAAAAAGAAACAAACCAAAGTTACAACGTTTGGACAGTGAGATGAAGAAGTATGGGAGATGCTAGGTTAGACTTACTTCATCATTCATGCACTCATCTCAACTCCCTGGCCATGGGGGATTCATGCGTGTACCATTTCCCCTTCTTTTATCTACATACCATCGCATGTTCCAGTGCCAACTTTTCTTTTCAATTTTTGGTTAACCTGCAGATTGATGATGTTTACAAAGAAACAAAGGCGGATCCACCTTATAGTTAGGACGAATAACTTTCTATCTTAAAATTCAAATTTTTTATATTAATTATTTTTTATTAATTACTTTCATCTTAGATTTTTATTTATATAAATTCATTTTATGTTGTTAATATATATATATATAAACTCTAAAAAATATTTTTTCAACGTAACGAAATCATATCATAATTCATAGCCTACTTCTTTTCACCACATTAATTAATAAGAGATGGTTATTTGGACTAATATAATAATTCCATCAATGTATAAATTATTTAAATAAAATAAAACATATGGATTAAATTAGTTTTGTAGATAAATATATTATATTTTTTATTCAACCAATCAAACTTCGATCCGATTAATATTTTATTCAATGGCGTGGATACGTCAAACGACTAATACAATGAAGTGAAAGATTAATCATTTGTACATGCACGAGTTGTTTTCATTAATAAATGCAAAACATGCACAAAAAGATTACGATTTTACAGGCAACAAAAGCGTAATTTGACTAAAGATATATGGCTCAAGAAATATAAGCCCCATCAAACCAAGATCTTTGTCCTACATGTGTATAGTAATTAATTTTTTAATAAATATTATATTAAGATAGCACATAAATGTTAGTGATTTAAGGGTGAATTTTACCTACAAAATCTATCAAAATTGAAAAAAATATATAAAATAAATTTTTTTTAAATTTTAAGAACTTAATCAATTACATAAAAATCTAATATTTTATTTAATATTTAAAAAAATAAAAATAAGATATTTTTAAATTTTCCAAAATTTAAAATATAAAAAATATAAATATTACAAGATTACTAAAAATAAGACATTGTTAATTTTTTTTAAAAAAAATAGGAATTATACAGTGATAAATTATTAAAAATAAAAATTTAAATATTTGTAAAGTTTTATAAAAATTAAATATTTACATCGCTCGTTTGTAGGAGTCTTCTGAAAATATGACTATCAAAGACCTTTTTTGTCAAAAATAAAAATACTTTTAAATTATGTTTTTTAATAATTTTTAATTTATCATTTATGATATTTTCAAAATTTTAATTGTAATTCAATTTTGATATAATTGTACAAGATTTTCCCAACTCATAGCCCCATTTCTAAATTGGTCTTTAAACGTTTAAAATAGTCTATACCTCTCTAAACTATAATCTTATTCTAATTACTCCTTAAATTTATTTTATACCACTCCACAAAGTATAAATATTATTTTATTTTGATCCTTTCATTAACAAGTCATTGACTTTATTTGTTAAAAATATCTAATCTAATTTTGAAGGTATTGAGAACTAAACATTGGGCCTTCTAAAAAAATTTCATAACTTCCAAAAACATATTGAGTTTTTGGGTCACATATTCAACTTTTTGGACCGTAGAAAACTAGTTAGTTAACATCACGGTAATAAAATGATCAAAATAAAATGATATTGATAGTTTAAGGATTATAAATAATGTTTTAAAGTTTAAAAATCAATGTAGAATAGGGGTCATAGTTTTGAGGATCGCATGTGTAATTAACTCTTTACTTTTAAAATTTTAATAGTGTTTTTATTTTTAGTGTTTTTAAATATTTTTAAATATTTTAAAAATTTTTATATTTTATTTTTAAAAAGATTAAATAAGTTTTCATTATTTCCTAAAAAAAACTACTTAAGCCTTTGAACCTTTTTTTAAAAAAATTATTAAACTCATACTCCATCTGTCCCATAAAAACGGTTCATTATTGACTTTTTTTGTCAATTTTTTTAAATTTTGATTAATTATTATTTAAAATTTATAATCGATAAAAGTATGTTAAAATATATTTCAAAACCCTTCAATCAAGTAGTTTTCATATATATATTATAAAATTTAATTATTTAAAATATTTAAAGTCAACTAGAGACCGTTTTTATGGGACGTAATGAGTATGTATGTAATACTATCATTCGCATGTGTATCTCCACATCAATATTATGAATTGTCTTGTAAACATCATGGACAGTCGTGCCAGCACAATTAACTATTTTACTAGCATTGTAATGGTCAATGATGGTTTCTATTGGTCAAAGAATAATTTTAATGTCATTCACAAAATTCAAAAATTAATTTGATAAAATTAAAAACAAGAAAACATTATTGATTTTAATCGACTACAAGAATAAAATTACTCTTTAACTCAATTTTAAATTAAGTGTAATCCATACACATATAACTTTGATTATGATTAAAATACATGCATCAAACTTGGATTCTAATTCAATTGTACATATTTAAAAATGAATAAATATGTTTATCCATTTTATATTTGATAGATATACTCTTGTGTATATAATAGTACAAAATCAAAGATTATGTATCATACCATATTAGACCAAAATTTATGTATAATTTTGATAATAATCATATTTATTGTTGACAGGAAATAATTAGCTAATTTTTTTTTATCAGTTTTATTAAAAAAAACATTTAGATGAGTATATCATTTTATAGATTACCTTTTAGTAGAGCTTTACACCCCTTGAGAACCTACAACTCTTCCATATTATCATTGATAGACACCACAAAATCGGCCAGAGTTAAAACTAGTTTAATTCGTCTGAGTAGGAATTAATTGATGATTAATCATATCAATTAAATTTATCAACTTACGAGTAATTACGTATGACACACACATCAATAATTAATATAAAACTCCCCAACAAAAGAAGAGGAATCTTGATATTAGCATGCATCATCATCATTATAAAATATTTATCAACAGAAAATGAAGAAAAGCATGCTAATAATTGCGGAAAGAAAGGGGGAAACAATAAAAACAAAAAGGTCAAACAATAAGCAATTAAGCATAGTTTTACATCAATATAACTCCAGGGCAGCCCAACCCAATTCTTCCTCTTTCCCCCTCTTTGCATTTCTTCACCGAATTTGTGTTCTTCCTTACCCTTCTTTTATGAAAACAAGCAATCATTTTTGATCCCACAGTTCATTCATTCCCATTTATTTGACTTTTGGAATTACAAAAATTATCAATCCTGAACTTTTGCTCTTCGAGTTTCCCATTTTTAATCTGGATCTTCACGTTGAATTTAATAAATGGAGAATCAGTTCTTCATTAATGCGGGAATCCCACTGCACGCTCCGCCGTTGAAATCTGGGTCGTCGCCAATGTCAGTTTGGCAATCGCTGTCTTCAGCCATGGAAATTCGGTCTCAAGATTGTTTCCCGACTACAGATTATGGTTTACAGTACGAGTCAGCCTTGAGTTCCATGGTGTCTTCCCCGGCTGCTTCGAATTGCAATATCAGGGAACTGATTGGGAAACAGGGGAGCATTGGTGACTCTGGTGAGATCCCCCATCATTCTCAGCCCATGTTGGCGGCTTCTACATTGAACTCGCAATCAATGGGGTTGAACTCCAGTGTGGCGGATTTCTCAGCTGATCCTGGATTTGCAGAGAGAGCGGCGAGATTTTCCTGCTTCGGAAGCAGGAGTTTTAATGGTCGAACGACTCAGGTTGGATTCAAAGACAATGGTGAAATCACAGCTTATAGATCTAATCCGTTGGCACCAAACGCCATTCTACCGCGTGTTTCCAGTAGTCCTGCTGTAAAAGCAATGGCATCTCAAATCGGTGGCAGCAACAAGAACACCCCATTGCAGGATCGATCCGAGTTAGCAAATTCTCAAGAGGAATCCACCGTTTCCGATCAAAATCCTGAGCCTGGCTTGAAAGGTTCGAATTCCAGGAAAAGAAAAGCGGCTCCCAAGGGAAAAACAAAGGAAACTTCATCGTCCCCATCACCAAATGCTTCAAAGGTACATAATTGAAAAAGAGTTGCAAGTTTTAACTCTCTTTAACATTAAATAATTATCCATTTCCAGGCGATTGAACCTAACGAAACATCAAATGAAAAACGATGCAAGTTATCCGAAAGCAACGGAAACGAAAATGGCTCTGGCAAAGCAGAGGAAGATGCCAAAGGAAGCAATTCAAAGGCTCCTGAGCCTCCCAAGGACTATATTCATGTTAGAGCAAGAAGGGGTCAAGCTACTGACAGCCATAGTTTAGCTGAAAGAGTGAGAATCATACGTAATTCGGTTCTTTTTTTCTTTTAAAAATCTGGGTTTTCTGGCATTAACACTGCTGATCAATATTTGTCACTTTGATCAGGTCCGTAGAGAGAAAATCAGTGAGAGAATGAAGCTTCTGCAAAATCTTGTTCCAGGTTGCAGCAAGGTCTGAAACAAAATCTGTTCTAAATCAAGTAAAAAAAATGATTGCTTTAATTCTTAAAAGTAAAGGGTTTGTTGGGGGGTTTCAAATTGTAGGTTGCTGGGAAAGCCTTGATGCTGGACGAAATTATAAACTACGTTCAATCATTGCAACGACAAGTTGAGGTGAGATTATTAAGTTTTATTGATGAACGTGTGGTGATCAATTTCTTGGTATACAAGTTTTCATGGATTTTTTTTATTGGCAGTTCCTGTCAATGAAGTTAGCTTCAGTAAATACCAGGCTGGACTTCAACGTGGAGAGTTTGATGTCAAAGGATGTAGGTCTAAAGCTCTTGTGTCAACAGTTCATTTTTCAGAATAAATAAGGGTAAACTACACATTTAGTATCTCAATTATCATTTTTGTTCCATTTTATTCATCCAACTATTACTTTTTTAAAAATCATACCTAAAATTATGTTTTGGTTTCATTTTAGTCACCATGACGTGATATTTTAAAAAATATTAAATGACGATATAGCATTACCTTATGGAACATCACTTAACAGTGGATGGCCAAAGTGAAATACAAATGTAATTTTAGGTATGATTTTGAAATAAAAAGTAATTGTATGACTAAAACAGAACAAAAGTGATAGTTGGAGTGATAAAGGTGTAGTTTACCCAATAAATAATACTTCAAATCTTTGAATTGGAATTCTCCTCCCCCCCCCCCCCCCCCTTCTCTGGCAGGTATTTCAATCAAACAACACTTTGCAGCATCCAATGTTCCCAATGAATTCATCAGCATCAGCCTATTTAGGGCACCAAACCCAGCAAAATCCACCATTACAGAGCAATACTGCCATCTGCCCCAAGCTTAACACCCATTTGCCTCAAATTAACGAGTTTATTGACACTGTACCTGAGGTGAATTTCATTTCATAGTTTGTCTACCTTCATCTTGATAGACCTAAACATCTAAAAATTTGTGTGTCAAATGTTTCAGTACCCAGCATTTTGTGAAGGTGACCTGGATTACCCTAGTTCAGATGGGGTTTGGCCGAAATCAGAGCCAAGAAATGGCATTCCATTCACAAAACTTCCAGGGTAAGTAAAGAAGAAAGAATCAAAGAATTGTGAATTAAGAAAACAATTGTACTAGACTGATTAATTAATGGTTGATTATTCTTGTAATTGCAGGGCTAAATCAAGTGTCTGACATGAAAGTTGAGCTCTAATTACACCATTCTTTGGTCCTGGATTAAATGTTCAAAGCAGAGAATCGCTGCGGTATATACAAAAAATGAACTTATCATTGGACCACTGCATGAACTATCATAACTAGGGTAATAGCCATTTATGCTTAGGTTTAAAGTGGAGTATTCTTTTCCCTTTTTCCTAATATTTTTTTATATTAATTTTAGGGTTCTCTTTTTGAACTTGTAATTCTTTTCTTCTTCTTCTTCTTCTTCTTTTCTTACCAATTAATCCAATGTAAAATCTGTGTATTCATGATGCAAAGATCTTTATAGCAAAAGATTTGTAAGATATAGTATTTTAATCAATTAATGCTAATTAAGCAGCTTTGATTTTCCTCACCATTGGACATTCAACTTCATTAATTTGAGACGTAATCTTAGTTTGAAAACAAAGATTTCCTATCATTCTCTTGAAGAAACTTTTGCATGGGGTCACCGTCACATTAAATTTTTTAATGCCTTGCTAGATCTTGTAATCTGCTTGATTTGATCCTTACTAGTGTTAACTAGCTGTAGAGAAACAGAAATGAGAGTGTAATTTACACTGATTAAGACATTAATGATCTTTTAGCTGAGCTTAGCTGGCTTCAACCCTTAATTCATGGCAATTTTCCACTATTTTTCATCATTAAAAGAAAGATAGATCCGTATGTCCCTTTCTTCTTTTTCATTTTTATTGTGAAAAAAGGCAAAGAAGTAATTAATTCATTTAAGCATATAACCAAAAAGATTAAAAAGTAATAACCAATATATTACTTTTGTTTTAATTCAAAAAAATATATTACTTTTGTTTTAAATTGATACTTTTTTATGCATCAGAGGAATCCCAGGTTGGCATTGGTGAATCATACTCACCTACTTTATTTTTTAAAGAAGGATAGATAAAAATAGTGGAATTCTGGTATTTATACTGGAAAGATGCTTTCATACAATTTAAATCGGTAATCATTTTTTTAAATTTAATATTTAATTCAAGGGTCAATAATTGGGTTTGCAGATTAGACTCTGCTCAATTACCGGAAAGATGACAAAGAAAAATAAAATAACCATGGAAGATGTTCACAAGACAGTCTTTGTCACTGTAAAGGCTTTTTTTTTAAATAAAGGGTAACATGCGTATTTAATATCAAAATTATGAGTTTTGATCTGTTTTAGTATTTTTATTTAAAATTTAACGTTAACTTTTAAAAAAATTTAAAAATTTAGGTACTAAAATGAATCAAAATTGATAATTTAGTATTAAACGCATTAAGTTTTTAATATTAGGATACTAAAATGAAACAAAAGCTAAACGTTATGCATAATTTTAAAATTTAAACATTAATCAAACTAAAACTAATAGTTTTCATTGAACGACATCTTGCATTGCTCTTATTCTTGTAATTTAATCCTTTATGTATTAACGCTTAGAAATAAATTAAGGAGATATTGAATGCAATCTTACCTCTAAAAAATTTTAAAATCTCATATAATTTATATATATTCTAAATTTTTAATATAACATTTTTTTTTGGCTAAAGCAAAATAACTAACAATCAATTTGTTCCATAGAAGTCGGCTTGTAAAATAGCAGCCATTTCAGTGGCGGTTGCACCATCGTAGTAGTTCCTATGGGGCGACCACGGCTCCAACTGGCTAAAAAATCAGCAGCAAAATTCTGTTCACGATTCACATGTTGCAGCTCCATTATCTAATCTTGGCCCCGCAGCTCAAGAACAGCATCCACTAATGCCTCTGATTGATAGTTCCAAATCTTCTTTACCTATAAATTGTCTGTTTCTATCATAACACGCCGGAAGCCAATGTTCCAGGTGTACTGAAGAATATCGTGCAAGGCCCACAACTCTGCAACGAGGACAGAACAACGACCTAGACTGCATGAAAAGCAAAAATCCAGCAACCCTTCGAATCTCGAATTAAGCCGACAGCAGCAGCTCTATTATCCGTAGTCTGAACCGTCCCATCGGAATTTGCTTTCACCCGGCCGACTCTTATTTTCATCCAGCTTAACGAAGTGTTCCCCACTAAAATGTACGGCTTAGCAACAGGAATTATGGCTGTGGAAAATTCAGCAGCAAGGCGATTGCATCGAGATAGAAAATCCTCTTGCTGGTGATATTTCGGATCAAGGAGTAAACTACATTTTTATGGGCACTATTAACACTAAATATAAATGAAAATAACTTTAGTGTCCGAAAATGCCTTATAATATATGATTTTAATTAATTTTTTTTGGATTTGCGAAAATGACCAACAAATTCGCAACGCGAACTCCAATTTCGCAACTCAGTTTCCAAATTCGCAACGCGAATATGTAAATTGCATTGCGATTTTTCAAATTCGCAACACTGAATTTCAAATTCGCAACTCGATTTCTGAATTCGCAACGCGAATTTTGTTTTCGCAACTCGATTTTCGAATTCGCAACACGAATTTTAATTTCGCAACAGGTTTTAGTTTCGCAACACAAATATTTTGGGTATATAACTACACAGCAGCAACAACTCATAACATAACTCCCTAAATCGCAACTCATTCCATCTCCATCTATCACTCTTTCCGGCGACATCCGTTCTTATATCCAACGACATCCTTCCCCATCTCTATTTTTTTACATAATTTTATTTCTATATAATTTTTCAATGATTTCTCTCCCAAATTATCAACTATCAACTTAATAAAGGTATGTTTTTCTCTAAGTTAGTGATGATATGTAGTTTATAGCTCGTTTGTTTAGTAAATTAATTTACAATTTGAAGAATGAAATCATCTAATGTTGATCATGTTTGGATAAATTTGTGTTTTGGAGGGTCATGGGAGAATGTTCATGGTGTTTTACAATATATGCCTTTACCCATGAATCTTCAACTAAAATTGTCATTAAAAAAGTTAACTTATAAAGCTCTAATGTTACGTGTTGCAAAGAAATTGAATTTAGAGCCTCTAAGTGGATTTAGGCTATCTTATCAGAGAAAAGGTAAAGTTTATTTGTTAATCGACAATGAAGATGTTGAACGATTCATTGCTTACATTAGTGTTTCGCAAGAAGATGATGTTACATTGTATGTTGTTAAACCTAGAAGTAGTTAAGTTGGGTCAATAGCGGGTAGTAATCAACTAAGTTCTTCAACCCCAGTTTATGGTGTTCACAATGTACAACGTTGTTATCAACCTCAAAATTTAATGGTTCCACCACAATTTCATCACCAAGAAAATTTTGTTTCACCACATTTCCAATACCAAACACAATCTCAAAAGCTACAACCTTTTCCTAATCCAAATCCCAATCAACTTTCAGCACCAAATTCCGGTTTTCGTATTGACCAGTTAGACGATTAGAGCCAACAGAAAAAATTGTGAGTACTAGTCAGTATTCAAAATTTGATCTTGGTCAATACCCAAACTTTGATCTTGGTCAATACTCGGATTTTGATGATGTTTCAGAAGAAGAAACAGACCCTGCGTGTAATGATTTTGATAATGGTCAATACCCGAATTTTGATGATGAAACAGCCGCTGTCGAGGAAGATGTTGTTGATAATAATGAGGAGGAAGTTACGACTGTGAATGAACATGTTGAACATCCATTCTGTAATCATATAACCCTGAAGAAGAAAAAGAAGAAGAAGAAGTCCCCGAAGAAAAGAAAAAGAAGAAAATGTCATAGGAGTATAACTGGAATATGCCAGAATTACTTCAGATACCGGAAGAAGAGTTGGTAAAGATAGCAGTTGATTGTTACACAAAAGTTATTCATATCAAGAAAGATGATTGTTTTGATACAAAGGAAGACTTGAAGATAGCTTTGTATACAAAATGTGTGGAAGATGTCTATCAACTAAAAGTTAACAAATCAAGCAAAGATCGTTTCGAAACAAAGTGTATGATTGACAAAAACTGTACGTGGAGTATGATTGCAAAGAGGATAAAAGATTGCGAAATGTTTCAAGTTAGGAATTTTATTGATAAACATACATGTTCAAGAACTCAAGTTCTTCCTCACCACAGACAGGCAAACAAAAAGGTGTTGGGTGGTTTTCTGGCTGAGTTAATGTTTTTGAATGGCAGGGTATATCGGGGACATGCAATTATTACTGACATGAATGCTTGGTTCAAGATTAATATCTCATATTCTCAAGCTTGGAGAGCCAAATGTTATGCCTTGGAATTGTTGAGGGGGTCTCCAGAAGCATCGTTTGCTCAACTGTCGGCTTATTGTCACAATTTAAAGCTGAAAAATCATGGGTCGGTAACTCATATCAAAACATATATATATGGACGCTTTGAGTTACTGTTTATCGCCATTGGTGTTGCCGTTAGTAAATCAATATAATTTTGTTGACTCATTTTTGTTAGTTACATGCATTTCACATTTAAATGATTATGTCTTGTGTATATTATTTTGTAGATTCGTTCGTTTATTACTTGCATGAGCCCAATTATTATAGTTGACGGAGCACATTTAAAAGATCGATACCTTGGAGTAAACTTATTAGCAGTAGCCATGATCCTCTATTCAACAGTGGTACTACAAGAAAAGAAACCATGCAAGTATTATTTCTTTAAATTCGTAACTTATCATATATTTTACTAAGTATTATTTATTTAAATTTACAGGAACATTGGAACGTCGTGTTACACCATGGAATGAAAAAAAGATAACGAAACGTGTCATGAAGTCAATGTCATGGAGAGTTGAACCATGTTCAAATGCTTTGTTTGAAGTATTGGATAATAACTTAAATGGGTTTGTCGACCTAAATGCAAAGACGTGCAGTTGTATGAAATGGCAAACATATGGGACATACCAGATGACTTATAAACAGTTTTGCCATCAGTCATGGATAGCAGGCTATTGGCCGACCAAAAAATCACGATCGTATACCGTTTAAAGGTGAAGAGAAGAGGATATCGACATGTAGTCGGTGCAAGGAAAGTGGTCATACAAGGTTGACCTGTGGATCACCAGTGCCATCACAATAATCTTTTCCTCTACCAAAATATGAATCCTCATCAAAATCCAACGCTCATATGGTACCAAGCAAAAAGAAATCAAAATCGCAATCAAAATCAAAATCAAAATCCCAATCACAACCGGCTTCACTTTTTGGGACTTATTAACTTAGGTGATTTTTAAATACAAACGTTGTATTATGTGTATTTTATGTGTGAATGCATACATTTTAGTTAGACATTCATTAGTAACTTTAGTTTGAACATTGCTATGATCTGTTCAGTTGTTATCACCTATGAGATTGTTGTCTGTTATCTT